GGTCCCATGTCTTGCACTAAATCCATGCTTCATTTCAAGCTGGTTGTCTATTTTGTAATAATTGGGTGGCCTAGTTTCATACAAAGGCCTCTTTCTTTTTGATTGCATTCTGGTGTCTGGTGGGGTTACCAAGGATGAATGTTGTCTGGGGCCAGTTGGGTATGGCCTTTTGTTATGGGTGCTGGTTATTCGGTCCATCTGCACCTCTTTGTAATGCTGTTTCCCATCAACTGAAAGCCCTTTCAGCCACTTATAACACATCCTACACCTGGGATACATCCTCTGCACTATATTAGTTTTGAGAGAGTCATCATCTAACATCTCTTCACTAGAGCCTTCTTTTAGGCATGCAGAGCTTTGTCCATCAGCTAGTGAACTTCTTGTGTTCTTCTTGAAAGCAGCCTGGCTAGTCACATGCATCTGCACAGTGACTTCCTCAAATTCTTTCAGGGATAGGTTTTGAAAATCTGGCATGCCAACATTGACTGCAGCCTCCCCAATCTCTGGAAACAAGTTGGTGTCAATTCACATAGCTTTCTCAGACTTGGCTGGAAACTTTAGCCGCATCTTCCGAATTTATTCTTGGATCTTGTCTTAGAAAACAATACAGTTTTTACTTGAATGAGACCAAGAATTGTGCCATTTACAGTACAGTTTTCCCTTAAGTTCTTCAATGGTAGGAATCTTGACTCTATTTGGTAACTTTAGGAAATTTGCTGCAAGCAAATGATCAAAAATGTCATCTGCTTTTGTTAAGTCAAAAGAATACTTCCTATGCATGTCTTTCTTTTTAAATTGTTGGTCTATTGTACTGTCTTTCTGAATTAATGCCTCACAAGTCATAGGTTCTTTTCCTACTAACTTTGCTGTATCAATTTCATAATTAGGGTCTCTATAGTAGGTCTTATATGATGCATTACTTCGATCTTGTTCTTCCTCGAGTAAAGTTTCATATCTAGACACCTTATAGGTTAATCTCACTAAGTCTCAAAACTCAATTGAATCAAACTTCTTTCAAAACCTAAACTCCAAGCCATTTTGAGCCAATCTTACAAATTCAGGCTCTGGTAGAATGACCCTACATTTGTTTCGTGCCCTTTTAAATCTGGCAATAAATTGAGCAACCTTCTCATCAGGCCTTTGGCTCAATCTCGCCAAGTCTTCCATGGAAACTTCAGGTTCTGTTTGGAAAAATTGGGCATGAAAAACTTCCTCCATTTGCTGCCAAGTTTGGATAAAGCCACGTGTAAGGTTTATGTATCATACGAAGGCCACTGCAGTTAAAGAATTTGGAAAAAGTCTCAGTTTAATGTAATTATTATTAGCAAACTCACCACACTGGCTCATAAACCTAGCAATGTGTTCCACTGTTGATTGATTTCCATGACCATAAAGGAGGGCAAAGTCTGGTATTCTAAACCCCCTAGGATATTCATGTACCCTATTCACCCACTTTGGGTAAGGATTTTTATACACTGGTGTTTGGACCCCCCGAGCCATAGGTCCACACATTTCTCTAACTATATCAACAATCTGGTCCCTAAGAACCATATTTTGTGCTGGCTAAACCACTACTGGAGGAACAAACATAGGGTTTGGAGGAACCCCATGTGCTTGTGGGCCTCTTGGTCTATATATGGGTACATTCAGGGCTGGTTACCCCTGTTATACTGGTTGTTGTTGAAGGTATGGCTGGCCTTTTGGGGCCTGCCCTATGAAAGGTCCTGTGAAAGGTACCACAGGAGGAGAAACAGGTGTTGCTTCTCTTCTAACTGCAGGAAATCCTTCTAACCCTCCAGGTGCAAATTCAAACACAGAGTTGGTGAAACCCCTTGTGCTAGGCATGTTTTCAAACATAGGATTTGGAAATGCCTTCATGCCATTACCTTGTGCTGGCTCAGATCCACCAAATTATATGGTTTTATTGGTAGAGAATGGTACATTTTGCGTGGTCATTGGTCTCGAAAGAGTTTCTTACCATGACTGAGGCACAGGTGCTGACCTCTCATGGTTGTGACTACTAGTCTGACCATTGATTTGTCAATTATTTTGCATAAGCTGTTTATCTCGAGCCAATCGTTGTTGAGGACTATTTACATTTTCTTCAATTTGTCTTACAACAGTTGGCTAATGAGAATTCATTCAATCCAAAAAGGATGTTGCCCATCTTTCCATTATATACATTAGTTGTTGTCCCATAACATCTACTAAACCTCCCCACAGATTCAGTGGTTGGGTAGAAGGGACATTTGAAGGTCCAGTCTTATGGCCCTGTCTAGTGTGTTGGACATGTGTTGTATATTCTGAAGTACTGGTCTGTTCGACCATTTGTGGGGGATCTGATGGGATATGTGCATCCATCACATTGTCCTTTGGGTTAGGTATTTCTACCTCTCCTTCCACACCCTCTTCCAGGCGTTTATTTGCTCCTTTTGCTCTATGTCTAGCCATTTTAATAGTCCCATTGGGCGTGCCAAAAACATATGTTGGCTTTTTTGACTTTTGAAGGTTAATTGTGTAATTTTAAACGTGCCAGCAAGGATCAATAAGTCCTTACAAAATTTATAATTGCCAACCAATTATCAAACGATTGTATTGAAGTTCTTTTAGCCTCAATGAAGAGGATTTTTACTAATGGCTTGTTTTAAGAGAAATTTATAAGAAATAACAAGTACAGAACAATTCAGAAACTGAATTTCATTGAGTAAATAGCAACTTACAATGAAATGACCCAACCTTAAGAAGGTTTACAACAATGACTACTTGAAACTACTCCTAGGAAATGAAATGCAGTATAGGCATTGAAATACTAAAAATGTAAAGAACTAAAAATGTAAAAACTGGAAGGAAATACGAAGTAAATAAACTAGTTTCTGGATATGAGTTTGGGTCCTAGCATTCTCCGCTATTTATACTCTTTAGAAGTAACCGTCGAAGTGGCCTTCTAACCGTCGAAATACATTTTCACGATCTCTGGTCATGGCTTCGCTCAACTAGCTTCCACTACGCCTCTTTTGTAGTTAGGCTTCCCTTTTAAATTTGAATTTGAATTGTAGGTAACCGTTAGTCTTCGTTATCTCGCGCCTCTTGACTATTCCGATGCCACGCAGATCCAATACTATTAACATGAATTGCCACGTGTCTGTCTTTGATTGGGGACTTGCATTAATTTTCTAAATTGCCCTTTAGGTGCCACGTGTCACTTTACGATTGGCTTTTACAAATTATAGAGCCAACAAAGACACAAATTAAATAAATTTTAAAAAATTATATATTTTTATGTAAAAATGAGCGCAATAAAAATATATAATATTTTTAAATCTTCTAAGACATACATTTGACAAAACCCAACAATAATGCCATCCAAATAGATTTCGGAAAGGGTTTGGCTTTGGTCCAGTCCAGTCCAAGATCGGACTGCACCGTGTTGTTGGGCCCATAGGGGCCCACCATTGGTCCCGTTTTGATAATCCGAACAGTTCAATGTGTAGAACTTGTCGAGTACTATATGCCTGTAAAAAATCACGTTGATCGGATATTGATAACTATGTGATCAAAATAGTTTTTTGTCAACCGTTAATTTGTTTACCGTCCATTTTTTTTATATATAAAACTAATTTGATCACATAGCTATCAACATCCGATCAACGTAATTTTTTATAAGCATATAGTACTCGACGAGTTCTACACATTGAACGGTTCAAATTATCAAAACGGGATTCATGGTGGGCTCCCACGGGCCCAACAACACGGTCCAGTTCGATCTTAGACTGGACCAAAGCCAAACCCTTTAGGAAAATGCAAATAATGAGAACCAATTAGATTGAGGAAAATGCAATAAATGTTGGGATACATTGGGCTATTTTGGGAAGTGGGTTAAAAGCCACTTCCCAGCTTTTAACCCATTTTCCTCTCTCACAAAAAAAACTTAAAAAGAGTCAAAAAGCAACTTTAACTATCTTTCCAAAACACCTCATTGTCGGTGGTGTCTTACATGTTTTAATGGTGCAAACATGTGATTTTAACCTCTTTAATTAAATAAGAAAAATGCTAAACAACTTAAAAGATTTATTAAATTTTTTATCAAATATCTTATATGGGTGTAAGTTTTCCATGTGAGGCATTTTATAAAAAAATTGATAAATTTTTTAAAATCTCTAACATTACTCATTAAATAAATAAAACCTTTTTTACATTACCTTGAAAAACAATTTATTTATTTTATATTAAAAAGTCAAAAAATTAGCATATAAGTAAAATGTTATCGTTAAAAGTCATAAGTTTACCGAATAATATAATTTTCTTTAATTTTGGATTTTTTTTATTTATAGAAAAATGTTATTCCTATTCTACTTCTTTACAATTATACAACAAAATTTGGCCAATATTGTGCATTGGAAATGGCATCATATATAATTTTGAACACTAAAGACAATTTAAAGTGCATTTATAAAGAAATAGGATGGGAACAACAATTTCTGATTTTTAAGTCAATGAATTTACTTTAGTAACAACCATAGCCAAAAAACAAAAATAATGTTCAAATTATGCCTAAATGTAAAACTCTTGGCGTATAACCAATTTGTTAAAGATTAACGCTGTATTTAATTGGAAGATTTGGAAAGAGATTTAGAAAATAAAATAAAAAATATAGGTAAAATGTGAATAAAATATACTTACATTTTACATAATTTTACATACCTTTTCTCTTTGCTTTTCCGAATCTTTTTCCGAATCTCCCAATCAAATACAATCTAAGAAAATCGGCCTAGTAAGACAACTCCCCTTATTAAGTGTAACATCTGATTAAAATCTTATTATTATATAATGCAACTTCTTCTATACCTTTTTTTGTTTATGTCAATTATAAAAATAAAAATAATAATGCAATGATTGAATTTTTTTTTTTTTTAAATGGCAATGTGTTACAAAATTGTGGACCCTCTTGTTCCACCACAAAGGAATCAACCTAAAATTTTCATTCCAATTTACAATACAACTAAAACAATGAAAAAGAATTTGTTTACTCTTTTTTATTGTGTGAATAATACATATAATGTGATTGGTCTACATATATAGACCTTATACCCAAACAGTGTAAACACTCCATCAAAAATGATAAATTACTATTTTTAACCAAACAAAATATGTGTACATACTTTTTAAAATGTGTAACAAAATCAGACACCCATAAACTACCATACAATTTTTTGACCAATTAGTATAAGGTTTCTCTTTACAAAGTTCACAAAAAATTTGAACTCATTGAGCACCTTCACATCTGCACCATTCCTCAATAGAGGTGGAAAAAATAACCAAAAGCTAGAGCCCACTACAAACCCAACAGTCAAAGGCCCAGACACGGCCCAATGCAACCGCCACCTGCCGGTTACCTTCCTCTTCACACAGGCTTCCAACACCACACACACACCGTGTAACACGAAGAAACCGGTCGTCTCCCACGAGGGACTCACACGTGTGACGTAGTAGAATAAAAGCTCGTGCATTAAGCCGGACACGAGAAAAGCCGAAAGGACAGCTGGCAGTGAGGCCCACTCTCGGCCTAGAATCGGCTCACAGGCCGACCTGACGGGTTTGTATATGGTGTGTCGCAGTGTGTTTGTTACCATGAGGTTCCATCGTCTTGCCCAGAAATCTTGGAGAGAGGTTGATAGGTAGGGCTCGTCGGAGGGTGGTTCGAGCTCCAACCCCACGGTGGCTCTGACGGCGGCGTTGGATAGCGCCACCAGTACGTCCACCATGAGAAACACCATGCAACAGTACAATATCAAGAGAATCGTAGAGTGTAGAAGCTCTCTGTAATCGTGGACCACACCGATCAAGAGGGACAGAACCACCAGTTCTGAAGCTAAATTGAGAGGCAAATTTGTGGGTTTTGATGATGTCTCTGAAATTTGTTTGGTTCTGATGGGGAGACAAGCAATGATGATGAAGAGAAAGAGGGGTTGTGGTGGGTTGGAAGAGAGTGGGCCGAGATCGAAGGAGAAGAGGAGGAGTTTGAAGGAGGCGAGCCAGGTGATGAAGAAGGCGGTGACGGAGGCGACGAAGGCGGAGGAGAGGTGGAGAGGGAGGAGAGTGAAGAGAAAGAAGATGGGGAGGAGAGAGAGGAGTCTGTGCTTGCCTTTGGGGAGTTTTGAAGAGATGAAGTAGCAGTAACAGAGAGAGGCTGCGATTGAGAACCATACTTGGAGCAAGTTCTTGATTTCACCTTCCATCTTTTGTTGTTGTTGTTTGATGGACAATGAGAGTGATGTGCAGAGAATGAAATTAATTAGGTTTCTGAGTATAGATTCCTTGCTTAATGGATGAAAAAGTGCATAAATATATATAATATAGACATGGTGGTGGGGCTGGTGAAGAGAGAGAGAGAGACAGAGACAGAGATGGCGGCGGTTGGCTGGTGTAGTGTTTTTTTTGGACCTGACTGGCTGGTGAAGTTTGATTCTTTCGTTTGTTTGAAAGGTTGATTCTTTACGGGGATTTGGTAATAGCCTGGTTAAAAACATGTTAATTTGCTTAACAATATAAAGTTTTACTTTGAATCATAGTAAACTTTACTCTGATCCAGAGTAAAATTTTACCCTAAATCAGAGTAAAGTTTACTATGATTCAAAGTAAAACTTTATATTGTTAAGCAAATTAACATGTTTTTAACCAAAGTAAAATTTTATATTTTTAAGCAAATCAACATGTTTTTAACCAGAGTAAAATTTTACTCTGTATATGAAAGTAAAATTTTACTCTGTGTGAAAGTAAGTAAAATTTTACTCTGTATAAAAGTAAAATTTTACTCTGGAAAACGAGTAAAATGTTAGACTCTGAATCTAAAAGTAAAATGTTACTCTGCACAAAAGTAAAAAAGCAAAGGCAGTGTTTGTGGCGGCTGAAGTGTTTGGCAATGACTACCTCTTGACAGTAAAATTTTACTGTCATTCTAACACCAGAGTAAAATTTTATTCTAATTTTCTCAAACAAAAAACAGAGCAATAGAACAAGAGTAAAATTTTACTCTCATTATCTGAAACAAAAAACAGAGCAATAAAACCAAAGTAAAATTTTACTCTGATTCTGTCAAATGAAATTAGATCAAAAACAACAAAAATAAATCAAAAAAAAAAATAAATAAACAAAAACAAAACAAATTAATCAACAAATCAACATATCTAATTGAGAAGAAAAACTTCTAAAACTCGATCAACAATCACAAATCTCAATGAAAAGAATACATGTGTTCAACAACACTCATACACACAAATATATATATATATATATATATATACATATATTCAAAACTCAAAACTGTGTTTAAAAAAATGTGTATAACCAAACAACTCTACCAAACATGCCTTTGTCGCCTCCTAGAAGGGAGAGAGGGAGGAACCAAAGCTTTCCGCAATTCTTTTTCGAATTCTCTCTCTTCAGCATTTCAGACTAGCTCCTCCGAAGAACTTTCGCACATGAGACTGTTTCAGCGATCAATTCAGAGACGATCTGTTTCTCCTCATAGACGATCTCCTTCGATTCCGGCACCAGAGGACAATTTTCCGGCCTGTAGTTGATTTCATTCCCAATGTTCTTGATGAGTTCATCGTAGAAATCGGTTTCGGCATTGTTGATCGCCGAAGTTTCGCCTGATAACTGACCGGACTTGGCTAAGAGAGTGATGACGATGACGTTGCTGATTATGAAGATGAAGAGGGGACTAACGACGAGTGCGATCAGTCGTTGGATCGTCGAAGCTTTCTCCGATCATCTCCGACGATCTCTTCCGCTGCAAAACAACACTAGTTCTGATCATCTCTCTAATCCGAATCTCTTAACCTTTACCAACAAAAAATTGATTGCAAATTGATCAAAAATCCGACACTCCCTGATTATATATGCAGAAGCTGTTTGTGGATTTAGAAAGGAAGAGAGTGAGGAAGAATTAGTTGAGGGTATAATAGTCATATAAAATATTTAAATAATAAATTTTGTCCTTTATACAAGACTTTATAATTATGAGGGGGTTTAGAAAATGGGCTCGTTTGGTTTGATTTTCTGAAAAAAATTTGGGAAATTTTCTCTACAAATAAGTTTTCAAAAATAACCAAACCAAACAAATTTTCCCAAAAAAATTTCCCAAAACTTGTAAACCAAACAAGTTTTCCAAACAAATCTCTCTCTCACACACATCAAATCAATCACTTTTTCCAAAACCCTATCTCAAAATAATTTTCCAAAACATCTTTTAAAAAAAACCAAACCAAACATGTTTTCGTACTTTTTATCTCTAAAACACATCTCTCAAACACAAACCAAACATACCCATAATTTTTTTCTTAATCCTTTTAACAATGAAAGAAAAGTAAAGGGGGTTTATAGCTAAATTTACCTTCTTTATGAGAATTACAAATAAATAAGAAGATCAAAGAATAATTACAAAATAGGAGAGAACAAAAAGGAACAATTACTCATAAGTGGGACAATTACTCATCCGTGGGAGTTGAAAAATTATACTACAAACTTTTGTTTTGAATGTGAGTTGATTTTTTGATTTGTTTTAATTTTTTAATTATTTTAATTTAAATTTTTGTGAGAGAAAAAATAAAATGATGATAATTTTAATGTGATATTTTGTCTTATTGACTTTTTAACTTATTTTATTATTTTGTGAATATTTTAGCCCAAATTTTTTATACCAAACGAAGCCTAAGTCAATGAGAATTTTTTTATATTTACAAAACAAATGAATGAAGTAATTTTAAATATAAAAGTGGAAAATTATTCTTCATGCGTCAACTCATTATTTAGAAGTTATTGGTTGGTTTTGGAATATCGTCACGTGGTGCTCCAATGATATTGTGATTGACGAAAGAGTTGAAATCTATAAATTTGTATGAAATGATTGAACAACATGAGAAAACATGATAAATTATAATTAATGTAAGATATGATCACGTAACGTCCAAGACGAACTAATAATTTTTCCTCGTTACCCACTTTCTTCCTTCTGTCAGTCTTCTTTGTTCTATTGTCCCCTCCCTTTCTCTCTCTCTCTCCTTCTCGAGAAATTATTCATTGTCCCAGAAATATTGTTTCATCTCATTTATGTTTGGACAAATATTTAATTATCTCCTCAAAAAATACAAATAAATAATAGGATTTACTGTTTCAATCAATAATAATTAAATTAAGATACCACCTAAATTTACCCTGAAACGGTAAATAATTTCTCCTCCTTCTTCCCTATCGTCCTTTTCTTGCTTTCTCACTCTCACTCTCACTCTCTCTTTCTTTCTTAATTTTTTTTATTTATTTAAAAAAATTATATATATCTTTTAATATATAAAATCAATATCGTTGAAAATATATTAATGATATCTTTAAAATGAGACTAATAATACGTATATAATTTTAAAATTTAAAATAAATAAAAATGCACATAACTAAATTATAATTAAAGTTAGTATGAATAATAATACTATCTAATATTATTTAAGTCTCTGAGTAATAATTTAAAAATTAAAACAACACAGTTATGCTATGTACAAATGTTAAAAAAAATTAAAAATAACACACTTTGTTTTGTAATGTTTTTAAAATATATATATATATATATATATTAAAAATATATGTAAAGTAGTTTGACAAAAATAATAGAAAAAATATTAACTCAAATTATACAATTAAAAATAAAAACATTCAAACATACAAATATTTAAAAAATTAATTTTTGTTCAAAAGAGATAGAATCATATGAAAATGAAAATTATTTTTTGGGTGAAGTACCAATTAATCCTAAAAAGAGATCTTAAAAGAATAATATTAAGGATCATGAAAAAAGGAAAAAGATTGGTAGCTTGAATCTGTGGCTCGAAAAATGGCTCGAATTCGAAGACAGAGACAGAGAGAAAGGAGAAAAGAGGAAGAGGGAAGAGGGAAGAGGGAGAGAAGAGAGGAAGAGGAGAGGAATGTAGACACCCCATTTTTGACCGACCTTAAGACTCAGACGTCACCGACTGAGCGCTTGGTGATGTTACATATCGTGCTCGTTCAGAGGTTTCAGAGTCTTGGCTGCGAGCCTTGCCTCCGGACTTCCGGACTCTTTCATGTTTTGCCTCGATTTGCGAATCAGGCTCTGTTTTCTTTGTTTTCTCTTCCCGAAGGGAGGGAGAGGTCTCATAGATCATCTCTCAGTGGCCGTAGGTTACGTTTCGTGGTCGTAGGCCATTTCGCCCGTTTGGAGTCCGGTTTCCGATTTTTCGGAGCCGTTGGCCTTGTGCCTCGGTTCGGGACCGCTTAACCACCTTCGTTTGCTCCGGTTTTTGGCATGCATCTTATTTTCTCCCTTTTGAGGGACACTGTGGTCCGAAAAACCAACTTCGTGGTCTAACACCACTTCCGGTGCCTAACAATCAGTTTTCGGGGCCTCGGGCTGCGCGCTTCGGCCCCCAAACCTTCATTTTGCATCGGTTTGGATTCATTTTTGGCAGGGACCTCTGTTTCATTGTTGGGAAAGTCGTAGAAGGGTGGGAGGCCAGTAATTGTTCTGACAACCAGTTTCATCCCTCCATCGCCCTCCGTCGCCCTTTTTTCCCGCTTGAAAGCCAATGTTGACCATCCTAAGGCCACTTTTTCTTGCCCCAAACCACATATTTGTGTTGTACATACCTGGGAGGCCACCAATATCACATGGCCGGCCATTAATTGTGTTTGACCCTTTTGAACCCCTCCAAAAAGTGGGCTTTTCTCTCTACTGGTTTACTTTCTCCAGTTTTTGACCATATATTTGTGTTGTACACACCTGGGAAGCCATCAATATCACATGGCCGGCCACTAATCTTGATTGACCCTTTTGACCCTTGGCCGGCCGGCCATGGGGAGAGCCGGTCGATCACCTGCAACTTCAATAACCGGCCGGCCATGATCCCCTCTTCTGGTACATTACATATATATATTCTGTTTCCCCCCAGATTTTGTATCCGGGGGGCTGCACTTTTGGGGGAAAACTTGAATTCTTTCCCCCCCATTTTCTCCCCCTCTTTTGTCTATATAACAGCAGCTCCAACTCCCATCTGAGGGTTACAAAAATTTGCCCTAAGCCTCTTGCATTGATCCTCCCTCTCCTCCTCTTCCAAGCACCAAAACCTCTCAAGTCCTACACCATTTACCCTACACCCCTTAGCACAAGGCCTCCACCCTCCATTCCAGCAGCCTCAAGGTCATTTCCAGAGGTCAAGAGCCACCAAACTTGGTCCAAAAGGCTGTCAAAGATTAGTCTTCAAGGGTAAGTCTCTTTCTCCTCTTCTTGACTCTATTTTTGCATACAATATTAGCCATAC